ACGCTTTACTGAAAGCACAGTTTACATCGAGTGAGCCTGGCCATTTTTAGCATCAAACTATAACTAATCAAATGGACAAATAAAATCCATCCCCTGAGCAACTCGTATTTCCCTCTTTATTATTACATTTTATAACTCGATTATTTTCATCCACTCTAGGAGTTGCGAATATCAAATCTTTTTTAGTCGAAGAGGCGTAGGCCTTTAATACCTTAAAGTAGTCAGTTAGTCAAAGATGGTCTTAATAATGGCAAAGCTCACTGACGATGCCGGCGAAACGTCTGGGAATGTACAAAATCCACGGTCTGATGCTGGAAATTATTATGGATATTATAACAGAGGACCCTGGACAAGGTATCTTCATCCTGGTCTCTGAAGTTACAACCAAGTTGCGAAAATGGAGTCAATCAATTTCTATACAACCAAAAGAGACCGCGACCAAGTAAAGGTCACACTATCTTGGTCTTTACACTTTCGATTAGCTCACTTTACTCCATAAGCCCCTTTTTGCCTTCACAAGTAGTTGTGCTGCCTGATTAGCTAAATCATAGCGCAGAATATTCTTTAAAAATATATAATAATTTAGGTGTTCAGGCAAGATCTTGGAGAGCTGTTTGCGACAACTCTTTGTACATGGCTTGGATCAGGGCTATATTTCATGACGTTGATCATTTTAAATGACGTCTTTTTATAGACATGAACCAGAAGCCCTGTTATAAACAAAGTCACGCTTATTATACAAATAGCTGGTAAAGGCTGTCAGAGGATTGGGACATCTCTATCTGCATTTGACTATGAAAATCAAGGTCTCTTTATTTATGTGCTGAAAATTATTTGCTTAGCTTCACAGCCTGGGTTTATACACAATCCAAGACCACATTATTGCATCAAGATTGGCTTGCGCTAAGCTTGGACGCAGTACCTATTCGCTGGATGGATTCGGTTTGCCTCGGCAATCTAGTCGTTTTCACAAGAAGATATCTATGAAAACTCTCTGTACTGTATCCTTAGTCATTTTCTTCATGTTCCCTTCATTGATCAGACCACTGCTCATGGATGATTTCGACTTAGAAGTGCGGAGTATGTTTATCGAGGTCTTTCGGAGATCGCTGCTGATTTGAGAAGATACTAAAACTAATTTAGATTTATTAATTGCTCATTTTTTGGAGGTGAAAATCTCGTTATTTTATAATTTTATAAAGTGATTTTTGGATAAAGTTAAGATAGTATCGAAAATCTACTTATAAAAACGAAAAATTAAATTTATTCTATCAGATGCTCTTTATAGCTGGTGCGTATAATTGGTATTCGGCTTTTTAAAGATGCCCTTTCGACTCTTAACATTTTCTAGCCGAGACCAAGCTGATTCTATGTATTACACGGTTGATCAATCAAAGTTCCCTCAAGAGAGTACATTATCTTAATACACACAAGGCATATATACACATGCACATATGTGTTTTGTGATCTAACTTGTTGACCTTTCTCCAGTTCCTGCAATATCTAGTATCAATTAATTAGAGAGGTGGCGGCGGGATAAGATGCCTATCCAGAGGAACGAAAGCTTGACTTCAGTTTTGGTACCAGGCCCAATCGATTAAGATGATAGGGAAACAGTTATTATGAGGGTAAGGCTAGGAAGTCTGTACCAAGCCAAAAAGTGCCTAAATGGCAAAGTATATTTGATTCTCGACATAACTAGTAAGACTTTTGATCGAGGGTATGGAGGTAGAGTCTGGTTCTCGGTGGAGTACGTCGTGCAGCTTTGCTGGGCCCGACGCTTTAGATATTTCCTCCTGATTGTCTGTGGGTCTGACGAGATATGGGTAGAAAAGAAGCATTGCTAAGATGGTGTGATAACGAGACGCGGTGCTGCGGCTCAATAGAGCTGAAGTACCGTTAACGTTCCATTCAACTAAAGCTCTTTTAGCCTGACACATTGTGGAATATGAAGTTTGGGCTCTGATTGCTATCGAAGAGCTAACGAGACAATGTACATAATTATCGGATGCACAAGCTATGCATGTGGAGGCAAGATGAAACTATATCCTTTATGGGTCATTATTTGTTGTTTGGTTTGCTTAAGAGTATAACGATGCCTTTGTACAGTTTAGCCTCAAATTGGGATTTTTTATTTCTAAAGCTTTCATATTATTCCTGAAAAGTATTTAA